TGTTTATGTATGTTATGTTATAATAATAATTAAAATGATAATGGTAGTTTCTTAATCCTTCAGCCACTGTCATTCCCGTTGTCCCTCTGTTGCTATATCTAGCAACCATTCCCGGGCCCCGGTCGGTTAGTTGTCGAGTTTTCGCCTGCTATTTTTACGTGTAATAATTATATTGTTTCGGCAGGTGCCATAGTTATCCATAGTTTCCAATTTACTGGTCCACAGCAATCCATCCATAGCCCTACCTTTTTTTCCATTATCTCAATAGTTCTACACTAACCGGGGACTGTCCTTGGGTGCATTTCCATAGTGCATACAGGGATAGTCGCCGGTTTGTGTGTCCATACATTTAGATTAAAGTTGTCTAAAGGTCCTCTGTGCAGTTGGCTTTAGTCCCTCGTAAGCCTCCTAAATGACCGGAACCCTGTGGTCCAGTGAATGGTAAAGACATAATTAAAATTAATATTTATATTATTACATAATGCTTTGTTTAAATATATATATTATGTATAGATATATGCCATAGTTTAGTAGTATGTAATTGTTCTATTGTTTGTGTTTCCCGTAAATCTCTAAATAGGACATACGTCCGAAAGTAAGTTAGTACTTACTCTGTAGTAAATTGTACTTTCAAAACCTTGATACAAAAACATTAAACAGATGCACGTGCAACGTATAAACACAACACGTTAATTTCTTTGCCGTCAATGTTTGTAATCTGGACATAATTAAGAATTGAATCATTGTTTCGCACATCAGTCAATGGAGATCAATGAAATAAGTTATCAAAACTTATTGCACAATGAACTTTTTGTATCTTCTTTAAATGTAAATAAAAACATCATTGCATATAATACATTATTGCAGTATTTATAAGCAGGACGCTAAACAATGTAACAATATTAACCAAACGTATTTCGCATTAATGAGAATAGAGGTTCACCTGGGAGAACCATTAGCGGACTATGGAGATTGTATGATAGTCAGTCATCCGATCTAAAATACCAACTGAATCCTAGTGACAAGCGCAATTGTGAAGTATTTGTAAACAAACCACAAATAAAAGATTACCTGTGGTTGCAAAAAATCGTAGCACGTTTTTTGTTTTAGTAACTTTTTGATATGAAATCTGTCACTAAGTAAGAAAGAGGGCGGGAGTGTGACATATGTGTTTACATCTGTTAGAACTGATGGAAAGCGGATCTACCCATTAGATTTGTTAACATCAATCTTGCTCAGAGTAAAGTTTTAAAAACAACAGTAGATATAAATTTCGGTTAATTGATATGAACTAGGAAGTATATTTTACATATTACTTTTTGCATAAAGTTAGGTAGGTATACTCTAACTCCTAATGGCACTGGCGCCCATGAGACAGATAGACAGAAGATGAGGCTTGCAAATGTTATAGAGCTAAGTACTATTGATTATCTCTTTAAGGAAAAAGTAAACCTCTTGAAGGAAAGGCCATCAGACCCCACAGTCAGATGGGGCCCAGTACGACTGATGTCCGATACGGAGCCGCGGAAGACTTAATGAGTTCCCGGGGCTTCGGCTCGAAGAGGAGAGGTAGGAACAGGGTGATTTTAACCGATAATCCGTCTGCTCCCGACACTCACTCTCGCCTCACACAAGGGAAGTTATTGGATGATTGTCCCCCTCAAAAAAAAGGAGAAACGTAATTGTTGTAAATGCTTCTACATAAAATATTACAACATTAATTCGGTAAAAGCAAACAAATCAGAGTAAACAACATACGAGAGTTAAACTCGGAATATCTCTCAAGAATCTTCAACTAACAACGGTTGCTCACAAGAATGTTAATATTGTGACAAACATCATGAATTTGTTCACATTAGAAATCCAGATTGCAACAATCGTACCTTGAATGCATAATACCTGGGTGGTGTTTAAAACCGTGAGCGTTGCGTAAGGAAATTTAACGTTTTAGAATTCGGAAGTGAATGCAGTGCTTCCATTCTGACAGCACACGATCTCTCGACCGTGAAGTATTAAGTAACTGTTTACACAAAGCGTACAATAACAACCATCTCATGCGTTACTTGTCATACGACACGTAATAACAACTGATCTAGTTTACAATTTATTGAATGCCATCCTTTATACTTTATCTTTAAAAGTTATATTTTTTGCAATTATATAAAAACTTTATTGCATACGTAAGTTCGTAGTATGCTCTACCTTTTTAAAGGATCGTTGCTTATGTCCCATTATGTAACAAGAAATTCTGTATTACAAATTAATGTTACTTGTATCAATCATGTTTATATTAGATTTTCCCGCCTCTGTTTTGTCTGTTACATTGTTATTAAGTACTATAATGCTCTACTTTCTCATCAAATACTACAGACAGACGGTCGAAATTAGATCCGGTTTCTATTAATTGAGATATTATTTATTGCTTAATATAATTCTTGTCTAGTGAACTTGCTCTCAACATAGAGTTAATGTTCGATTAAGGAAGTAAGGAGCGACACCGCCAGCGTGAGTCGGTGTTAGGCTTATTTCAATTTCCTATAGTACTTTCATATGAGTGAAACTGGCGATGCGCGCCAAGTACCGATTACCCAAGCAGTATCATGTTTCCTGTGGATAGTTCACTCATTGAATGAGTTTCCATTCAATTGAACCCAACCATAAACACAAACAAAACACTCGGGAAAATTAAACTCCAATATTTTATCGACATTTTATTATAACAATAACAACCATAAAACTACATTATAAAATAATAAATAGGCAACCTTAACTATTTACTATATTTACAGAAATTCACGTCGCTACACACAACTTTCAAGCGGGCTCTTATTTAGATTAGATGCACATCATGATTCGATATTATTATTTCTAATAACACGAGTTTCTCAGCTGTCTGCGATGAAAGATATCAAGCTACTTGATTATACAAATTATACACATGTTACCGAAAAGAAAGCACACCGACAAGACAACCAAAACACGACACGTACGCGCAGTGAGTAACAAAGTGGTCGCACAGCTAATTAGCGGAACGTAGGCAAATAAATAAAACCAAGAGCAACACTTTCGCTCACATACACCATGCCATCATTCGTACCACGCCTACACAACCCTCACACAATACTGTCAACTATCAACTATTTACACAAAACTATTCGGCAGATCTCGATTTAATGAGCACGCGGCTTTAATTCCTCGCTGTACTTAATAGTGTTGTATGAAGTCTCACTGGCAGCGCCGTATGCGTCTTTTGGTGCATAATGAGAGCTTGAACTACTTAAACTATATTTAGGGCCAGATGAATAAGAGCTCAAAGCACTATGGCTGGAAGCTGGTGACCTGTACGATAAACCACCTTCTCCAAAGCTTGGGGCAGAGTGTTGATGATGCTTTGCGCTGACGTAGTAAGGTTTGTTGGAAGAAGCTGCGTGTGCGTTATTTGATGAGTATGAGGAAGAAGGGAAGCCGTATGTGGTACCAGGAGGAGCTACATGTCCTGATGAAAAGGCGCTGACACCCTCTAAACCTTCACCTTTAGCAGATTGGTAAGATGGAGCACTGAATTTAGATGATCCGCTTCCAAAACCCTGAGATCCTCCAAAACTGTGACCACTAGAGCCAAGGGACAAGGAACCATGACTAGCACCACGATAGCTGCCGAAAGATGGAGCTCCATAAGATCCAGAGATTCCAGACAGACCATGACCAGAGAATCCATGGCTAGATGGACCCTGGCTAGATAGTCCAAGAACTGATTCTCCTTGTACCGATGAGCCTAAGTATGCAGAAGGTTTGAAAGAAGATTTACTGGGACCAGCGTATCCACTTAAGTGTTTGTATTGGCCTCCGAAAGAATGACCACTACCACCTAGAGTAAGCCCAGCACCACCAAGACTAAGACCATGCGGAGATCCACCAAAACCATGTGAAGATCCACCAAAACCAAGTGACGATCCACCAAGACCAAGTGCACCTAGTGAGTGACTGCTGCCACCAAGAGAAAGGGAACCTGCATCACCTAAAGAGTGTCCAGAGCTAGGTGCTCCATAGGACGGTGCAGGGGCGTTATTAGACTGACTCTCGGAAGGTGTGAACAAAACGGGTCCAGTAGAGTACGATCCCAAGCCCTTGGTGCCTGCGGAATATGAAGGTGCGCTAGATAACTGTTGTTGCAACTGCTCTGACAAAACATATTGCTGCTGTTGCTGTTGTTTAGGAGCTCCGTACGAAAATTGAGGGAAAGAGTAATCTTGGGCGCCTTGAACTGCCTGAGCTGCTTGACCATCAACTCCCTGGTGAAATTCAGCAACGGTTGTGGAAGGCTGCAGTGATATTCCTCCTGCATTTAGATTATGGGAAAGCTGACTCATCAACTGAGAGAGATCTCCGCTGGCGAAAGCAGCTCCGTGACTGGGTTGCAGAGTAATAGGAGGTAGCTGAATGCTGCCATGGCTGTTAGGGGATAATTGGGATAAGCCTTCAGCAGAGTATTGCAGGGCTCCGCTTGATCCTTGTCCGCCGAAGCTGTAGGAGGGCTTGGCACCACCAATGCTGTAGCCGGCGCCAACGCTGATAGCACTGGCGTCACCCTGTCCCAAGGATGGTGCGTGGTAGCTGTGCGCTGACAGGCCGGAGGATCCGTATCCCACGGGCGCCTCACGCTTGTCTTGATGGTCATCCACCTTCTTCGCCAGCACGGCCCATGATGTCGATATACACAAGAGTGTGGTAAAAACGATCTGCAACAGATAAAAATATAATTGTATACTTTCGTCCAAACAATCTTCAGGAGAGATCGAAGTTGAATAATAACAATAAATACGATATTTAACTCAAAAGTAATTCAAAAACTGGTTTCCGAATGTCTACGGCGGTCGTACAAGTGCAAGTTTAACAGCGACCCGCATGGTAATGTTAATATTTACGCCCACATTATAAAAATTTCACTTTTCCACTTTTACTTTAAATATAATAAATGGATGGATATCTACATGTATTATAATTATATTTGAAAAAAATACAGCAATCGCAGATCATCAATCACTTTAAAAATATCTGAATTAACAATTAACTATTCGTGATAAACCTGCGGCACATATTTAATGGTTGTCTTTATTGTAGCTCATGTAATGTGGGTGTATCCTTTGGTTGTTAATTTTATAACAGTAATGATACAGATTTAATATTGCTTTTATTATTTATCTGCACTGAATTTATTTTGCTTCTTAGTCTTTAAAGATAAAGACATTAAAATATCAATTAACATTCACACATCCTTATAATCCAATTAAAGCTCCACACGAAGTCCTTAAAATCACAATCACTTAATTCTAATGTTGCACTTTTCACAGAACACGAACTCACCGTGAATTTCATTTTATATTCTTATTTAATATACTCGTCGCGTAGATGAAACTAAATCACTTCACAATGTTTGGAACACGGCACAAACAAATATCTGCGTGTATCGGCCGGCTTGCTTGTGCTGCCGCCGAATTCGTAATGTGATGTCGCCGTGTTTTCACCGAATTTATAAGAGAGCGATCGGTGGCGCGCACCCGACTGACGGAAGGGTAAAAGTGTATCGGAGGACCCTTTCACTGCAGCGCGGCACCGGCTGAAAGAATGGGAGCGAGCCACTGAGCTTCCGAACCCAACAATGAGGTAATACAATCCGGAAGTGTTGCATCATACTCGATCACGGTTTGGTGCACTTATCGACACAGATGTCATACGGAGTCTGTACTGTAGGCGACCTCATTACAACTGCTCTCATTTTGTTATTTAGCTACCAATTTGTTTATTTTAGTATTGCAAGTCAAACCAATGTAACGTATACGCTTAAGCGTTTCGTAAAGAAATGTGCTATCATTTACACAGTAGTAACTTCTTCACACTATAATTAGCACGTGCTGCGTTAATACACAATCTGCTTATTAATATTTTATAGCATATAGTATTCAGAAATGATAGTAAAGTATAATATATTTTAGGAATTCAGCAATATTCTGATCACATTACGCCAAATTGCTATTTACATTTAAAAATCCCAAAATTTTCAATTTCATAGTCGGTGCAAAAGTTGTCATCCAAATGAAAGAAGTAAAAAAATATATTTTAATTTAGATCGATCGTCACCAACCAGTAATCTCATTGAAAATGCATAGAATTTGAAATTCCATTTTCGATTTTGAATTATTTAAAAATAAAAAGAGAGACAGTGTCCTTGTATCTGACACTGACACTGGCGACAACCAGCTAGTGAGATCGGATGCACTTTCGTTCATTGATGTAATTTGTAGGCGAGACATTGACGCGAGATGAACGGCCGAGTACGTAAACTAACTGTATATGTTGACATTACCGTGAAACTGAGAGTATTTTGGTTGTTGATTATTTGAAATTAACTTGAGTATCGGCCATTTTTTCTCGTTCTCAAAGCAGTTTTTTGGTCTTTTCACATTTTAAGTAGGTAATCTTTTTATTTTACTGCTGACTGCCTCGTTGGCCCAGTGGTCGCACGTGCGACTGCCGGCAAGGGATCTCCGGGCAAGGTTCGATTCCCGGGTCTGGCAAAGTACTACTGGGTTTTTAAAAAGTTCTCAGTGGTAGCACGGAGTCTGGAAGTGTGCCCGGTATATGGCAATAAGCTCACCCCTATTACATGGGACTCATAACATAAATAGTGAAAAGTGGGTGTTACATTGTACAGTCGCATTAAATGCCGTAATCTGCACTTCTGCTTACCCCTTCGGGGGTAAAAAGCGTGATTTTATGTTGTGTGTTCTTTTTTTCTTAAAAGTGGTATGGCGTGTTTTAAGGTATTATTAAAGGTTGTACTGACCCATGAAAAATGGTGATCTTTAAATAATATAAAAGTCGTTTATTTCAGGCAATTTTATTAGGCCCATTAAAAAATTTTAAGTTCATCACTTTATTATTTCCACAAATTATTTCACTATCTCCTTTCTTTTACGTCACTGTAACGAAATGTTTTTCTTCTTTTCTCCTCTCAATTTAGAGGCCTCTTGCAGCCTTTTGTCGACTTTGCCCCATCCTCTTTTTTACCTCTTTTTTACCCCAACGTGAAAAATCCGCATGGAGCCTCCTTGCTTGGGGAAGACGTTGGAAATTGTCGATTGATCCCGTTTACGAACTAAAAACCACCTTAATTTTCACGCAGGTGCGAGAGGATGACATTGTACGTAACTTTGATTAAATTCCTAGTTTATGGTATGTATGCTATTCACCTTTTCTTCAACAAAGTAAACCATGTTCATGTCCGAACTTCATTACGTGTAACTCCAGTACAATACCATAACTGCCTATTACACAATGAACCACCCATTGTGAAGAACTCTAGCAGTTCCTAGCATTGTTAGTAGATAGAAGACTATTAGATTTATACTGCAAAGTTTATCGAGTCAATGACTTTAAACACTACGCCTTATATTCAAAGAGCCATCTCATAGATTATCATATATTAACAAAATGTAAAAAATTGTCGTAAAGCCATTTGCAACGATTTTTTTATCTATCGGTATCGATATATTTATGAGACATAACATAACATCACGCCTTTTATCTCCGAAGGGGTAGGCAGAGGTGCACATTATGCCACTGTACAATGTAACACCCATTTTTCACTATTTATGTTATGAGTCTGATGTACATATTTATGAGAATTTTTTTAAATGTCAAAAATTATGAGGTATATTCCAACATCATTATCATCATCAGAATCAGTCAGCCACAAGTCGTCCACAGCAGAACACAGACCTTCTTCAGTGAATCTAGACCGGCCTATAGGAAGCGACGTGCGACCCTTATCAGCCATATTATACCAACATACGTTTCTTATTTCCTGATCAACTAGGCTCTATATTTTATCCAAATTCGACGATCATGTTCGCATTTTTACATAAACCATATAATTTTCCACATCTGCATTACATACATAAAAAGATAAATTTACAATTCCCGACACGGCTGCGTTTACGCGACCTGCTGCATTTGTCGCTTTTCACATTTGATCTTCGTCGTCAGATAGTCGAAGAATCTTTGTCATTTCCTACGATTCAATCTAGACTTTCTCTACGTGCTATTAATAATACTAAGTACATCATGACATCGTCAAATATGGTTTTAAATTACCATGATTTGTTAGCGCTGTATGGCCATTAATCATCACTTTTCATTCACCCAAAACTGTGAACTACAAACGGGTTTAAACACAGCATAAAATTACAATATCGTTTTTCAGACATGTCAAATAATAATGATTCTTTCTTATGTATTACACGCATATTTCGATCTTATTATCACTGTCATAGTGATCATATCAGCCTCATGACGTTCAGTATTGAAGAAGGCACACCCAAAATGACTACCAGATCGGGCAGCTTGAAGCATTCTGTATTTCGATCTATAGCAAAGAACTCAACTACTTATAACAAGATAATATTATTATATCTCATCTCTTTAGTTAAAGAGAAATGTATTTATTTACATTTTATACAATTGCATATAGAGGACTTAATGCTAACAGCATTTTTTGCCAGTCATCCTTCGTCTTCTTCTTATGGTGCTACTTTATTCCTGAATGTTGGCCGTCAGCTTTTTGAATTAGTCCTTGTCATTGGCCAGGCGGAAAAGTTGTTCCACAGTCCTGATACCGGTCCAGCCACGACTTTTCCTTCGCCCAGCACTTCTCTTCTCTTCCTTACCCATCATTATAAGATGAAGCAGCATGTACCTGTCAAATATTATGATGAAGATGACTACCTCCTTAAGTTAGTGCAAAAAATTTCGCACGATCAAAAAATCAGAAGCTATCAAAATTTCAATTGGAAAGTGAAAACAATAATTCAATAAGAACCACACCACAGACATTATTAGCAATAACAGACAAAGTACAACACATTATATAGTTATTATTTTATTTTGTAGTGTTATGTATGTAGTTATTTTGACAGGTAACCAGTAATAGCACTATTGTTATGTACTTTCATACCAACCACCAAGTGTTACGGCCTGAGTAAATAATTAAGTCTTATGCAACAATGCTATTGTACTCAAGATCTGACATTGATCACTCATTCAATGTATTGTTTCGTTATTATGCAAGTCATTTGTGAGATAGTTTTGGATGGAGACCTAGAAATATTGATCCTGTTTTTCGCTGCATCAAAATATTAATTAACATCTCATAATACACTTTTTATTCCCTGCAGATGTATATAGAATCATTCGGAGAGTAAGAATATTCCGTTTCAGGTCCTATGTAATTGCAAGTTGAAGTCAAGCCAAAAACTATTCATTTCTAGATCTGATTCTAATCGGCGACGGTGACCTCTCGCGACCAGCTCAAGGAGCCATCAGACCACCACAGATGGGGCCCAACAGTGCCGAATGCCAATATGGAGGCGCAGAAGACTTAACGGGTTGCCGGGGCTCCGCCTCGTAGTACAGGAATAGGAACGGGTGGTTTTTAGTCACTAAGTACTTCCTCTCGCCTCAGCCGGGCGAGAGAAGTCATTGGACGATGATCCCCCCTCAAAAAAAAATGATTCTAATAAAGATGGGAACAATACGTAGCCTCAATTTAGTCCTTCCTAGTTACCTACTTCCGACTATTAATACCTTTCGTGCAGTACTAAGTAGCAGAAAGAGTGTCAAGTAATTATGTTCCTCTTATAACACTTTCAAAACAAATTAAAAATTCAGTATGAGTACGTACGCAACAAAGTTAAACCGTGTCGGCACGATCTTGGCAGTATGAGAAATCATGTAATGCATCGTCATATTCATCATTCATTCACCACTAAAGTAGGCAAAGGATATTTAATCATTCAATTCAAATGGAGTCGTCATTTTATTTAGTACAAACCAGTGATATGATATAGAAGTAAAAAATAATATTTCTAACTCAAATGAAGTTGGTGATCTCATGGTTACAAGTCATTCTTACAACTACTAAACTTACCCTTAAGTTTTCAGATTTATATAATAGCACTGCTGCTCGATTCTTTTTTTCTCTAAATCTTTATATGTATATATAAAAATGAATTTCCGTTCGTTAGTCTCGCTAAAACTCGAGAACGGCTGAACCGATTTGGCTAATTTTGGTCTTGATAGGTTCGTGGAAGTCTAGGGAAGGTTTAAAAGGTGAGAAAAACTTTTAGGCGGTACGAAATTTGCCGGGTCAGCTAGTTTTAAATAAAAAATCTTAAATTGTTACTACAAATTTATATGTGATTCGATATTGTATAAAAACCATGTAAATCTATTGTTAAGAAATAAATAAGGCTTTATAATAATTATTATTATATACTGCTGCTCGATCTTCGTCAAATGTCGTGTCGACTCCTGGTTCCATAGTCAGCTCTCACGACACGTGGAAAGAGGTGGAGACAAATATTAATACAAAACAAAATCGGTGCTCATATTTTATTAACCTGTATGAAAGAAAACTATACTTAAAAATGA